TCTAGCTCCGAGCTAGGCACACATTCAGTGCTAAATAAACACCTGTCCAATGAGTGACCAGAGCCACACATCAGTGCCACCCCCTCCAGGGGGTCGCAAAGCATCACCCAGTGTCCCTCAACCTCAGCATACTGACATGGTGAAATGCAGCGGCGCCCCAGAAACCACCTGCCACCCCTGACCAGCACCCAAGCAGGTGGCTGGAGAATTGCTGGAGGGGGTTGGGCCTCCTCCACCTCTGCTTTAGACCAGCACTTCCAGAACCGTAGGGGCCTGCATGTGTCCTGTCCACACCATTACACACAGACCCCCATTCCAGCAGCTCTCCCTACCTTGCTGGCCTCAGGACCCAAAGAGCAACCGGGAGCTCAGCACCTTGGAGGACTGAGGACTGAGGACCAAGGACCACAGAACTTAGCTCGGTTGCCATTGCCTTGCTTAAACCAAGGATGACTCGAACCCAGAGCCAAACAAACTTCAGGGTGAAGGCCAAGTCAGCCATCCTCCAATGAGGATGCTCGCTTAGTGTTTAGCCTCGCTGGAACTTCCTACGCTGTAGACACACGTGACCATGTTCGGGAGCAAGGAACCTGCCTTCCAATCACCGCCGAGGTTTGAGCAAAAAGGGCCGTATGAGTTGTGTGAAACACTTATGCTCTGAGTTTGCTTCACCATAAGAATGTTCTAGATGACTGACAGCTTCAGGCATGAGGCAGTTAGCTGTGTTTTCTCTGCCCCTGGGGCCAGCTACACCTTAGCGTCATGATGCCATTCAGGCTGGGGTTCTCACGTGGCTCCCACTAATGGCGTGGCACTGAGCAGCCGTTCACAATTCCTCTGACTGCACGGGCAGCTTCACATATTGAGCGCAGTGTCCGGGAAGCACCCTTTGTCAGAGTGAAGATGGCCAGCAGGCCTTGCCCACGTTTTGTCTTGGTAGATGGCAGAGGAAGAGAAAGGGGTGGCCTGGCAGCGGCGGCAGACCCACTTGCATCTCTGGAGAACCCCTTTCCTGAATCCCTGCCCTCAGGATGCCACGACCTGGTCTGTCATCTAGCTACAAAACAGTCCCATTGTTTTCCGGACGGGCCCAGGCTGAAGACGGAAAGCTGGGGAACTGGTGCCACCAAGCGGTAGAGAGAGCAACTGCCTGCGTGTGGCTCCAGCGCGGCCTCCCTCCCTTGGCCTCTCTCTCTCCCTCTTCCCCCCCCCCCCCCCGAGAAACAGCACCCACAAGTCCTCTCTGCTGCCATCCTTCCAGCTCTCAGGAGTTGCTGAGAAAGAAGGGCTTGAGGATCGCATCTGACTCGCTCCGCAGTTCTTCCTGGTGCTAAATCAGGTCAATGAGCTTATTTGTGTCAAATAAATTAGCCTGGCCAACTGCAATGCTGTGGCAAGGCTATTTATCTCTGGCTCCAAACTGCCACCGAGCAGGCTGTGGGCAAAGCCATGCAGGTCTAGATATCAGGGACAAAGCTGAGGGGCTCATCTTAAAGGGCTGCAGAGACATACGTCTCAGGGGAAATTGAGTCCCACATGGACGGGGGCTCCTGTGCCTCTGGAGGGAAACATTGCAGCACCCAGCTCCAAACAGCACCTGCCGGACGATGCCCAGAACACCTTTACAAACAGACGTCCTGCTGAGTGACACTGACTCACACCTATAATTCTAGCTACTCAGGAGGCTGAGATCTGAAGATCACAGTTCGAAGCCAGCCCCAGCAGAAAAGTCCATAAGATGCTTATCTCCAGTTAACCACCAGAAAACCAGAAGTGTAGTTGTGGCTCCAAGTGGTAGAGCGCTAGCCTTGAGCACAAAAGCTCATAGGCAGCACCCAAACTCTGAGTTCAAGCACCATAAATGACACAAATCTAAAATTTTTAAAATGAAAGCAAAAAGCACTATGTGGACCAAACACTGGAGCAGGCAGGGCCGTGCTGGACTCCAATCATCTTTCACAGTGCTGTGTATCCATGAGCCTCCCTGATCTTTTTATTTTGATGATAGCATGTAGTGATAGAATAAACAACAGACTTAGGAGATGCACTTAGGGGTAGGGTTTCCCCAATCCCCTAGAGGTTTATCAGGTTCTGAGAGCTCTAGCCACATAAATGCCTAGAATTCCTCCCCACTGTGTAAAAATCAGAGCAGGAAAAAAGAGGCAGAAATGTGAAGGCAAAACCCTGTGCAATGTGCAAGTGCACAGGGCTTTAACCTCTACAGAGTCTGTTTCCAAGGCAGGATACAGAAACAGGGTGTGCACTTCCTGCCTGGGAATGAATTAGCTAAAATTGGATTAGGCCAATTCCCCAGCAGGATCCATTTATTTAACTTATAAATACAAAATACTCACTTAGTTACAAAATACCGGCATCACTTTTTACGGGAACTTTAATCAGAGGGCAAGGACTGAATTGGGCCCAATTTAATGTTTTCGGTAAGAATACTTCTCCCCACAAAACACAGCTCTTCTATGACAGAGCACAGCTTCACAGGTGCAGGGCAGCAACGGAAGAAGCTGGTCCCGGCATAGGGAGCCACAAGGCCTATGGAAAAAATCTAAGGAAGAACCCACAGAAAATGATCGGCCCAGTTAAAGTTGCCAATGGGGGTGGGGGGGGGCGGGGAAGAGAAGGCCTGATGGGAGGAAATGGGCTCAAGGTAGCCGGTCTCCATGCGCCATGAAGATGGCAGCTGGGACACGGGCTCATCTTGCTTTCATCAGTGCTGGTGACTCGAGAAAGAATTTTGGATCTGCATGATTTCTTAGAAATCACCCTCCATGGACAAATGAAAAAAAGCAAAGTCCAAAAGTTAGTTCCTTCGAGGTCATTAATGCCTGAGCCTGCCAATAAAACTGGGATGCTGAGCCGGGCGCTGGTGGCTCACGCCTGTAATCCTAGCTACTCAGGAGGCTGAGATCTGAGGATCGCAGTTTCAAAGCCAGCCCGGGCAGGAGAGACTGTGAGACTCCTATCTCCAATAAACCACCAGAAAACCGGAAGTGGCGCTGTAGCTCAAGTGGTAGAGCACTCGCCTTGAGCTGTAGAGCTGAGGGACAGCGCCCAGGCCCAGAGTTCAAGCCCCACGACCAACAAAAAAAAAAAAAAAAAAAACAACTGGGATGCTATACACAGAAACATCATGGCTGCACGATTACCTACACACATGCATGCGTACACACATATACACATGAATGCACGTGCACACTTCGCCAAAACATCTGGAGCACACCCAGACCAGAGGGAACCTTACCACACGTTTCTTTTTTTTGGGGGGGGGTCTGGTCGTGGGGCCTGAACTCTGGGCCTGGGCGCTATCCCTCAGCTCTTCAGCTCAAGGCTAGCGCTCTACCACTTGAGCCACAGCACCACTTCCAGCTTTTTTCTTATGTGGTGCTGAGGAATCGAGCCCAGGGCCTCGAGCATGAAAGGCAAGCACTCTACCACTGAGCCACCTTCCCAGCCCCTTACCACACGTTTCTATCCACACCTGCATCAACTAGACAAAGATCCACTCCACAAGTTTTTAGGCAATTTTCTATTTTGACATCTCCTAATAAAGCTAATTATCCACACAGGACGACACACACATGGGCACACATGTACATACACATGCATGTATGCACATACACACACTTCCCCTTTGTAAAAGTCAGATGTGGTCAGTATGGTCTAGAACCTTGAATTACTGACAATAGTATTTTTTCACTCAGCAACTCCATTTTTAATTTCAGGATTACTTGTATGTACTCTGATCAGAAGTTTATATTCAACACTGCATTAGAAGTTAATGAGTTCTTTTAAAACTCCAATGGGCTGAAGACGTTATTTCCACTGAAACTCTAAAGCACTCACTTAGCAAGGATACATTCTACCAGTGATGTTTGATCTCTTGGGTGGCACAGGAGCAGCCCTGAGAAACAGCATGACTGAGCTAGTGTTGTCTGCACAACTGCTTCGCTGGTTGTTTACCTGGAGAGCTGTTGTTTTGTTGCAGTATGAACAGCTCTACTTTGGGTCTGTAGACAATGCAGGTGTCCAACTCTAATAGCAGAGACAAATCAAGTTGTAAAGAACTGCTGGGGTTTGGCTGAGAAGCGTGTGGGGTCCCAGCCCATTCACTCAGCCACTTGCTCCCCTTCATGTCCTGAAAACAGATGGCCAAGCAAAGTTGCAGACACATGACTCAGGGCAAAGCTGCCTCCCCAAAGCTGTGGTCACTTTGATAAACTATGCATAAACCATAGCTAGAAGAACCTGCCTGGAAATCCACACACCATTAGGATGGAAGAGCCACCATTAGGGAGAAAGCTCATGATCTGATGAAACTTGAACTTAAACTTGTTTTCCTTAGCTTTTACCAATAGCTTTCTTCGTAGAATGACCAGTTTGCTGAACGGACCCCCGCAGCGGTGGACCCATCTGTTTTCCCAACTCTCCCCCCCCCGCCCCCCGCCCCACTTCCCCACCACCACCCCACGCCACTCCTTTTGCTGGGAGTCCCGAGGGTCAAGGAGGAAGACAGTGGCTATGTCTGGGCCGCATGTTGAAGACAGGTGGGGTCAGGAGCGCAGTGAGGAAGAACTCTGTGGCAGGGAGCTGAGCCTCCAGGCAGCACTGAGCTGCACAGACCTGTGAGAAAGACTCGAGTCCTGTGGGGATTGCGGGTAATTTAATCAGCGGCTCTTCAGCACAGAACGCCGGGCCAAGCAGTAATGAAGTCAGCAGTCAGAACCCGAGCTCTCATTTCAGCCTTGGGGACAGACAAGAACCCAGACTCCAGCTACTGTCTTAGGGCTGAGGCCAGCACTTCCTGGGGTGTGGAGTGTTCTGGGCACAGTGGAGGGGTTAGCCTCTTGCTCTCCATCTGCGGGTGCCAGTAACACTTCCCACCTCTAGCTGTGACAAGAATGTCTCCAGACATTTTGGGAAGAGTTTGAGAAAATACAAGCTACTCCATAATGTCAGGATTGAAAAGTCAAGAATCTAAGGCTTCATTCATGTAAAAATGCTCTTTACTAACACTTAGGAAAGGGAGAAAAAGACAGGCCACATCATGAAGTGACTCACCATAGAAAACTGGTAATTAGCCAACCAAAACATGCAAAAATAATCAAACAGAAATGAAGAGCACTTGTGTATTATTGCTCAACTTGTAGAGAGACTTACAGACAAGGTGCAAAAAGTAAATTGGTTTGATACACAGGAGGAATATTATGCTTAAAAGATTATAAAAATCTGGGGGGCATGGCTCATGTGGCCCTGGATTCAACCCCCAGTACTAGGAAAGTAACAATGTTAACAATAACATAGACATAAAGACAAATTTCAACACTGAAACGTTAGGAAAGAGTTTAAAAACAATCAACACAGGAATGGCGGAACTGGTGCTCTGCCCACACACGTTGGATTAGTGAAAATGGCCCAGGGAAGCCTGACACACAACACACACACACACACACATGTGAAAGCACATGTCACGTGTTGCCTATAGAAAAACCACAAGTTCAGGAAACAATGGCCTGGAGGATTCCATGACAGTACTATACTGGTGACACCAGGTGGGGGCCGAATTGTCACGTATGCATACAAGCTGCTGTCCAGAAAAGGTCTCAGGGGAAGGGAAAGTGGCCTACATGTGTTTGGGGTCAGCTGACCTTCTTCACACCTGTCTCAGGCCCCTTCCCTGCTCTGCATGCTTACAGCTACAGCTCGTGCCACAGCATCATGTATGACACTCACAAATGGAGGCCATGTTTGAGAGGACCACTGGGGTCACCCTTCCAATATGCCACATCTAAAGTACCCAAAGGTGTGTCCAGTTGTGCCAGGACCTTTCCCTAAACTGCCAGCATGGGTCACACAGCACAATGAAAGGCCCTAGACTCTGGACACCATGCAGGAAGTGGAAGGCAGTGAGGAATCCTGGGTCGGCACACCAGGGAGGCCAGGCCAGGTGCTAGAGGTGGCTTGCTGGTGTGGCCCAGGATGTGGTCAATTCCCAAATGACACACATACCCGAATCAAGTACAAAAACCCTTATTTCATGGCCCAATGGGAGGACGTTTGGGCTGTGGAACTGATTTGACTAGGTGTATAGCGTTTCCCTCTTCCATCCATGCTTCCAGGGCGGAGAGAGTGGACCTGGGCTGCGACCCAAATCCCAGAGGAAGCCCTTGTCTAGGTTCCCTCATTATCCCTCAGTGGGGATCCTGGAGGTCACACACTATGCAGGGGAGACATAATGCCTGCACAAGCCTTTCAGGGTACTGCCCCAGGAGGCGGGCAGCACAGAAGGTAAGTGTATAAGCAGGCGCTGGATGCCCCACGCCAGGCAATGGTTCCCACAGACCGTGGCAGGCCATGTGCACCAGGGCAGCCAAGGAAGATGGGGACCCTGGAGATGTGGTGTCTCACCCCAAGTACATAAGCCCAGCCACAGACACCAAGCAAAGCACTGTAGTCTTCAGAGGCGGGGAGGACTGCAGGTCATTCTGCCAGGATTCCAAATGGAACAGCACCTTGAGGTCTGGATAAATGTAGGTGCTGGGATATGGTTATGGGATTGTGCTCAAGGCTGACTCAAAATGTTAAAATACCACCAAAAAGAACTACCACAAGAGAAGACCCACACTCTTGGAGCAAGCCTTTCATAGGGTCAGAGGGGAATGGACTTCACTCATGCAACAGCAGAATACAAGAAAAGTGGTTACATGACCCCTGCAGTACACTGAGCTAGAACGAGGCATTCCCTACACAAACACTGTATTTCCCCCACAACTCCAAAGACGTCCAATAAATAACTGTACAGTGGTGGCCCGAGTGAGCCGGCCCCGAGGATGGTCACAGGCCCCCGCAGGTGTCAAGGGCAGCGGGATCCCAGCCAGCTGGCGCTCCTTCCCTGATGGCACCACTGCAGGCTCGCACTGCGTCACAGAAGAGCTCCAACATCTGGCCTAGCCAGGCGCTGAGCTCAGCCACAGGACGCCACAGGACACGACCCTCGTGCTACCGTCCACTGTGTCCTCGGGCAGTGGACGGGCCTGGGCTGGGAAGTCTGGCTCCAGGCGTGAATTCTGCAGCAGGCTCCGTGTGCCCACAGCCCATCAGGCAGGGAAGAGCTCGGGCGGGCTCTCTCCGTAGCAGTACTTGGCTATGGGGTCCCGGTATGTGTTCTCATGCTGCACGCTCTGTTGGCAAAGGAAGACAGGCGCATGGTGAGGGAGGGCAGGGCAACCAGGTCCCCACCACACTCCCTGCAGGAGGCTGCCCACTCCACTCCACCTCCAAATGTGCCTGCAACTGCCCAGGAACTTTCTAGAACAAAGAGGGATGATGCTCCACAGAGAATGCCAACTAGGAGCATGAACATGGCCTTCTAGCTCCTAGTGGGTGCCACTTCCTCCGTCAGGCAAGAAGCTTTCTAACTGCCTGGAGGTCACCTAGGCAGCTCAAGACAACTACTTCTTCTCAAATTATCCAAAATAGACTAAGATCCAATGGGTGTTTGCACTTGGCCGAGAGTTTCAGACATATTCAGTTCCTGGGAAGGAGTCCTTCAGAGACTACAGAGATGCACTTCAGATTCCTTCCAGGATGTTCACACAGACCTCAAGGTCAGCATCAGGAGATGCTAAAATGGGCCAATTTTCCAGCATCTTGTTTTTAGACAAGCAACTTGACTTTTTGGTTAGTGAGGCGTCATTAAGTGGCCTAGAACTAATGCCAAGTAATTGAAGTGTAAGTATTAGCACAACCAAATCTTCTCCTTGGGTACTGGTGGCCAAACGGAATGGCAGTTGGGAACTCTCCATTCACAATAAAAAGACAAAGTTGAAAAGGAGAGTAGCTCTGCTTAAGACCTCAAAGAAGTCCTGGGTGCTGTCAGCCTTTTCTGGCACTTGTTGGGGGCGGACAGCGTGTGAGCGAGTGCGGCGCCAGCCTTCCCCACGCTTCCTCTGAAGCGCACCAGGCAGGAAGCTCCTCAGACCACTGAGACCATTAGGAGCTTCTCGATGCTCTCAGCTATCTACTGCATCCCTGAAACACGGCCTCAAGGAAGCTGGGTGCTCACGGCAACCTCGAGACAAAGCAGCGAACACAGGCTCTCCAAGGAATGACAAAGGAATGGCGTACCTCAGACAAGGCCAGGAAAACCCTGGATATGCCAGAAAGACTCAGGCAGGTGCTCTTGGTGCCAGGTGCAGTGTAGTGAACGCAACCCCTGCAACGTACAACCCTCTGGATCCTAAAGTAAACCACAACTCTGTCCCACTACAAATCACTGCTTATTGTAAGCACAGCTGCTGGAAAGCCCCCATCAGATTCCAGGCAGACGAGAAGAAAGTAGCTCTTAGGAATCAGACTACCAGGGTGCATTTGGATTTGGAAAGGTAATTTTACACTTGTAGTTAGAGGGCCAGTATGTCCATTAGACAGGAGAGATGCAGCTGGCTAGGCCCTGACCCAGTGTAAACTCCTCACCTGCCCACACTTACCAAATGCCATGCTGCTAGCGAAAGAACTGTCACTCTACCAAAGCACGGCAGGGTTTCACCCCTGCACTGCGTCCACACCGCGCCCACTGGGTACTTCCGCCACCCCCACCAGCCTCCCTAGCTAGTGATGGCGCCCACCATTTCTTACCTGGGATGAGGTCCTACACTTGGCCAAGCACAATTCAAAATGGTCTTCCACGGCCATAAAGAGGTTCTGGAAGGCCACTGCGGCCCGGTTGAGGAAGCGCTCCAGGAGAAGTTGCTATGGAAACAAAAGTTAGGAAGAATTCCAGGCCAAGGCAGCACAAGGCATGCTGGGTCATCCCTGCTCCCGAAGGGGGGGGTGTGAGGGGGCGAGCATCGTTAATTCTCTGGACATGCTCAGCACGCAGTGGCCATTCAGCCAGGCCCTGAAGCAGTGGCCTGCTGTCTACAAAGCTCCTTTCTGAGTTCTACAGTGAGGACGGTGTCACGGAAGAGCCCGGGGCAGGAGCACAAGGGATCACACCTTGCTGGGCTGCAGGCAGCATGAGACACAGTGCTCATAGGCACCGCAGCAGCCGCTGGCCAGGCAGCCGTCGCAGCAGAACTGCTTCGTGCTGGGGACACTGGGGTCACAGCAGCCGTTTGCCAGCAGGTCCTTCCTCTCACAGACGTAGCCTGAAAGCAGACAGAACCTCGGCATGAAACCAGCAGCCCAGGGCAGCCATACCGCAGGGCTAGAACACAAGAGACAGGATGAGAGGAAGACTGTCAGGATGGCAGAAGTCTGGGGCTGGGCAGGGCTTAGGGGCAGGGCTAAATCAGCCCCGTGAATTGCCGGCAGGGATCGTCAGAGCTGGGGGTCAGTCAGGTCTTCACTCTGACCCTCTGTGGTGGAAGAGAACCTGCAATGGAGAGGCAGACCCGAGAAGTGCTGGGGATAGGTAGGAAGGGGACCACACTGTGGATGAACCCTGATCAAACCCAAGCTCCACAGGCAGCCCACAGTGCTGCACCAGCAGATTGGAAGGGCCGACGTACCCAGCTCATCTGTGATGAGGTGCTTGCCTTGAATGGAGTTCCGGCACTGATTGCTCGGCCGACTGCTGTTGCCCAGGTTAAACTGTACCTTCCATGGAATGGGCTGTTCATGGTCTTGAACCTGGAGGAGGCTCCGATCTCTCACAGCCCGCTCCTCCTACAATACAATGAGAAGGTTGACGAGGTGAACACCGCTTTCCTTACCACCTCACCTAGTCTCTACAAAAGCACAGCAAGACAAGAGAGCTTGTGCTCTCCTGACACCAGCAACGCTGGAGCAAAATCACAAACTTGTGGAATAAAGTAGGAGAACAGGGTTGTGCTCCCCCTGGGTATGACAGGCTCGGCCCGGTGGTACTTATCAATATGTATTCATGTGCTAATATGTACAAAAGATTGTTTTTAATTTGGAGGAAAAAGTTTTGACCTTTTAAAAATGTCTTTCTATTCAAACATTCGCAGCCAGGCACAGAGGCTCACACTGGTAATCCTAGCTACTTGAGAAGGGGAAATCGGGAGGATCACAGTTCCAGACCAGCCACCCCTGAACTCTAAAACAAACATGACGCTGAACTTAAGAACTTGCAAAATGGAAGAGGAAACTGCTTCGAGGCTGTCAGCAGGATGGTAATCAGGCACAAGGGGGCTACTGTATGTTACTACCAGCCGCTCTGGTGGCCCGCATATGGGGAACTGCAGCAGGGCTGACGACGGCTGGAGCCGCATGGAGCCCGCCAAGTCACCAGGGTCTCCTGGGAGACAGGACTGTCAGCTCACAAATCCTTCTACACAAGGGTCCAGGGAGGATTGCCCTGGGCAAGACCTTACCCCTCCCAGCCTGGAAGCCAGGCCAAGTGGCCAGCAAGCTCTCAAACTACCTTTCCAGAAAGGAGCCAGAAAACAAGCCCCACATGGGACAGCCACCTCTGCTTCCAATTATTCCAGGAAAACAACCCAATTACACAACACCATCCCAAAGGCTTTCCTGCGGGCGAAACGTCCCCCGTTCCAACAGAGTTCTAGGCAGTCATCACTGAGAACGGCCTGCCGTGTCACTTTTTTAAAAACTTCTGTTTTAAAGCCAAAGAAGACAATGTTTTTGTTGTTGTTGTTTTGTCGGTCGAGGGGCCTGAACTCTGGGCCTGGGCGCTGTCCCTCAGCTCTTCAGCTCAAGGCTGGCGCTCTACCACTTGAGCCACAGCACCACATCTGGCTTTTTTTGCTTATGTGGTGCTGAGGAATCAAACCCGGGGCTTCATGCATGCAAGGCAAGCACTCTACCACTGAGCCACCTTCCCAGCCACGATAATGTTTTTATACAAAAAAAAAAATTAGACATGATCTTTACAGTTCCTGAGGTTTAAGAAAGTAATCAGGGAAGAGCAATTAATATTTAAAATATACAAATAGAGCTGCACTCTGCCCTAGCAAAGCCGCATGAGCCCTGGTTTACACCAGGCCCAGGAACATTCAGCACGGCAATGTTACCTGGGAGGAAAAAAACCAGGACACTGATGACAGGGAAATAACTAGATACAGCACAGACCGCTGGTGGTGCCAGTCCTTGATCCACCAGATACCATTCCTCTAGACGAGCAGGGCCTGACCACAAACAAACTCAGCTACACGCAAGGCTGAAAACCAACAGCCTCCGGAGGCCACCTCCACTTGCCAAAACCTCTGTGGATGAGGCCTGCAGGCCAGGATGCTGCAAGTCCCTGACTTCAATCAACAGCCGGGCTGACACCACTAGATGTCTGTAGTGTGCTAAGCAGGAGAGCCAAGTGTGGAATGACGTGTCCATACTATATATACGGCTACAGTTACAGTAATCTATATACCCAGCTGAAAAAGGAAGAAATGACAGGCTGTGACTACACCCTGAGAGTGACAAATGATTACTGAAATCATCTCCAAGGCCTCATGCCAGCAGATTACATCTGTAATCTTGAGAGTATCACAGTTCAAAGGCAGAAAAAAGTTCCTGAGACTCCATCTCATACCAGAGCAGGGCCTGGTGACACATACCTGCTATCCTAGCCATGATAGGAAACCTAAGATAGACAGATTACAGCAGCCCAGGTGGGTGCCCAGGTAGGAGGCAAAACCCTATCTCAGTAATAACCAGCATAAAAAGAGAGCTGGAGGCATGATTCAGCAGTAAAACATATGCTTGGCAAGCACAGGTCCTGAGTTCAAACCCCAGACCCACCAAAAGAAAAAAAAATATCTTTAATCATTTTCTAAATATCCTTAATTTAGCATAAATGCAACAACAACAAAAAGCCATGCTTGCTATTATCAATAGGAGAAATGAAGTGAAGGGTCTATACTGTAGACTCTACAGGTAATCTACCATCCTTGTAACATTTCTGTAAAATTATAATTGTCCCAAAATACAGGGGTTAGAAATGTAGCTCAGGGGGTAGGCACCAACGAGAGTAAAGTGTCAAAAAGTTTGAGTCCCAGTGTTAAAAAACAACAACAACTAAGAAAGTTTATTTAAAATAAGAAGCATGATTACCAACACTGAAGACAGAAATTACCTACAAACCCTTTTGCATATTAACTTCTCATGTTTATACCACAAATTAAAGGTGTTTTTACATTCAGTCCTTCTTGACACTCCCATGACCTAGATCCTCATGTTTTCAGGACTGCAGACTAGCCTGTGGGGCTGATGGGCCATGACTTAATAAGCATACCCCACTCAGCAACGTTAGGCCCCAGGTTTCTGCACCACAGGTGGGACTGCAACTAAATGTACACCTTTTAAAAATTCTCTTAGACAATTTGTAAGAGTTAAATGCCAGATAATACCAGATAACTTCCCGAAAGTTTTACTTAGCATTTGTATACTATCAGCACTTAAGTAACAATGATTACAAATCTATCACAACCCCTTCTTTGCTAAATGCAAAACCATCCTTTAATTTCTACTCTGCCCTCTTTCCGTCTCTCTTCAAGACAGAGTAGCACTAGCTGGCATAGGACAGTGATTCAAAAACAACATGTGCAGTCGGTCCTCAGCGCCAGGAGAGGCGCTGAATACACCATCTGGGAAATGGAGACAAATCACTTAGGTGTCCACTGCCTAACTACCTGTAAATGCCTCCTCCCTGCTCCACTGGGATTGGATCAGCTAACTGCAGAATCAAGCTGAGCTGTGAACTCAGCTGAGCTGTGAATGCTACTGTGGACAAATTAATACCTATAGACTACTAGGTACAGAGATCATCAGAGGACAGTAAGCTAGCTCTCAGAAAGAGGTTAAAATGTGCCTCCCCAAGGGCACAAGGCCTAGGTGACTCTGATGTACCCACCTGGCTGGCAGAGTGTAGGGAAAGCTGAGGATATTCCTCCACTAGAGAGGACCTCTAAATGTTCCCTTTTTTACCATCCAGGTGAAGTGTCTGCATTCAACGGCATGGGATTTTTGCAAAGTGCTAAGGACAGAGACAAAGGTGGTCAGGTTCTCTTGGCCAGGTCAAGAGCACTCAGCACCTGCAGCCAGGATGCATGCACACAAATCAGTGCTGGCAGATGCTGGGGGGCACCCACATGGAAGGGGCAGTGGGGACAAAGGAGCAGAACTCTGTGAGGAGACACTGGAATGATGCTTGCCCAAGGACCTAGATTTATAGAGGTGCCTTGGTAACCAGGCTGTATATTTTCCAGGGTCACTATCAGGTTCAAAGGCAATAAACGTCCTTGTGTGGTGTGTGAGCAGAAAAGCACCAGACACTGCCGCCACTCAAAGTACTGTAAGTCCCCCAGCCTCTCCGCCTCCACCCCCTCCCCAAATATGGAGGCAATAAAGGCTCTGGCCTGATGCTAGACAATTCTAGGTAGGAAAATCAAAGCACTCTCAGTGACAGGGAAGAGGCACCATGGCTCAACTATGTGAAGACACACAGAAGGAAAGCTGGCTGGAGGAATCTAGCAGGGTGACCAGTCCCTGGCCTCCTTCACATGCTTCCACCTGGAAATCAGAGCAAAAATAAAGCAACAAGTCAGATTAGCAACTCTCTCTCAGGATTTACAATAATTCACTTGAGGCAAGATCTAAGTGGGCACCAATTTACATACATAATGACTTTCAAGCTTTCCGGAGATATGCAAACAGCCCTGAGCTGCCCCAGGGGAGTGCTGGAGGACACTGGCTAAAGGAGAGGAGAGGCTAGCCAGGACTCTCCCTCTTCACTCCATGACGTCATCCTGGGTTGTTCCCTTTGTATCATAAATCATATCTGAAATCACCTTGTTTTTATTGTCTTCTTCCCAGGCACGCAAGAGGGCAGGCTTGTTTCCGGACTCTGTCTCCAACATTCAACATCTAGCACCCTGCCTGGCCTACAGGTGTCCCTCCACACCCTAGGTACTCAGCGCCAGTCCCCAAGCCCAGCCCTTTCCCCAAAGGCATTCCCACCAGCCTCACCTCTCCTGCTCCACCTCTAACAATCCCAATTATCCCCTAATGCATTCATTAACAGGAAAACCAAAGAAAAAGGAATCCAGGCAGCAGAGGCTAAGCAACTATTCCCAAGGCAAAAGCTGCAGCATGAACTCATGTCTCCTCTAAAGGAAACAGAACTAAGGCAGCTTCCAAGCTCTTATGGTCTCTTCTCCACCAACGACAACAGCACCCCCCCTACTGGTGTGCTCCAACCCCCAACTCCCACGCAGGTGACCCAAGCCGGGAAGGCACGAAGCTGGGGGTAATTGGGGCGGCAGATGACCAAGACTGAAGTCTAATAGTCTCTGGCAAAGACAAGGGCAGGCATGAGCCCTCAGTCAGCACAGGCCACGCTTTGGGCCCAGCCTTCTTAAGCTTGAACACTACTGACCCTTATGTGCGCTTAGGTGACTTAGGACTATAGATGTTCACCCTATGAAAAAAAAATCAAAACATAAATTGTTAAAAGTACCTTAAATCAAGCATTTATTCACTGAAAAATGATACTGAACTTCTGCTATGTTAGCCCCCTTTTTTTGGTTGGTTGTGGGGCTTGAACTCAGGACCTGGGCGCTGTCCCTAAGCTCTGTCACTCAAGGCTAGTGCTCTACCACTTTGAGCCACAGTGCCACTTCTGATTTTCTGGTGGTTAATTGGAGGCCTTTCTTGTCTGGGCCAGCTTTGAACCAGGACCCTCAGATCTGAGCCTCCTGAATAGCTAGGATTATAGGCTTTAGCCACCAGCACAGGCTGTTAGCACATTTTTTTTGTGTGTGAAAAAAAAAATATATATGGCTTTCAAAAAACAACTTAGTGAGAAAAGGCGGGTGGCCTTGCACTCGGTCTGTCCTCTCTGCTGTCTGGGATGAGACATGGGCGGAAGCCCCAGTCCTGCAGTGATGGGGCTGGGTAGGGAGGCACTGTAACATCCATAGTGGTGGATGATATTTGCTGCACTGGAACACCAAAAGCTACAGGTGTGAGTTCTTACACGGTCACTACAAACAATGAAAGCCTAGAGAAAACAGTTCCGCAGTTCCTCAAAAAGCTAAGGAGCTTTAACTACTGACCTAGCAAGTCCACCTTCAGTTACGGACTCAAGAGGAACAAAAATGTGGGCACACAGAACCTGGAACCCACCAAACATTCATTGTGATGAGTGCACAGAACATGGTAGATGTTCACAACTGGGCCAGACGTAAAAGTTTTGGTCTGGGGGTGCCAGTGACTCACATCTGTAATCTTAACTACTCATGAGGCTGAGATCTGAAGGCAACTGGAAGCCAGCCCAAGCAGGAAAGTCCACGAGATTCTTACCTCCAATTAACCACCAGAAAACCAGAAGTGGATCTGTGGCTTAAAGCGGTAGAGCACTAGCCTTGAGTGAAATAGCTCAGGGATAACACCTGGCCCCCAGTTCAAGCCTCACAACAGACAGACAAACAAACAATAGTTCTGATTATGCAATGCCTGGTTGAATCCCCAAAGCATGAGTCAACTGGAAGAAGCTAATCAGTCATTAACGACCACAAATACATGACTCCACTCTATATCCAATACCTGAAATGCACAAACCTCCAGCAACAGGTGCAACTGCTTAGAGCTGGGGGGGGGGGGGGGGGGGGAGAGTTAGAAAGCCCATCACAGTGTTCTATCTAATGCTTGACTGTGGAGGTAACCAGCCAACTGTGAATTTCTTAAAACTAATGAGTAGTAAACAACAGGTGAGTTAATACAATTATACAAGTATGAATTGTCTCAATAAAGCTTACCAAACAGTTCAGAATGTGGACCTGAAACCATGTCATTGAATTTTCCCTGCACTGTTACAGTAAAATCCACGAATTTGTCTTAGACTGTGAACAGGTTTTATGCAAATTAGCCACATGTGGACACCTTTTCATTACTTATTATCAAAAAAAAAAGTCACATTTGTTAATACCACCAGGGATCTAATGAAAAAGCCTTTGTGTGTTGGAAAGTTAACACACTTGGAATAGCAAGTACTTTTTTCAAAATTCTAATTTTCACTTGAAAGCTTGAATTTTACCTTTGCCAACAAGTAATGTCAGATGTTTCTGTAAAGCAACCAGCTCTCTTCAGTAGTCTCCAGGCAATTATCTTCCATGTGGCCAAATCTGAACAACTATAGTTTCTGGCCTATTCTCTCAGGTTTCTGTGGTACTCCCTGGAAAAGCTGCCAGGTCAGCTTGAAACCGCCAAGTGCTCTTCTTGCTCAAGTCAATATCACATTTAATTTTGCTTTTCTTCTATCCTTCCTTTCCTTTCCTTTCCTTCCTTCCTTCCTCCCTTCTTTCCTCGTCCCCTTCTTTTGTGGTAGTGGTACTAGAGTACAAGCTCAGGGCTTCATGCTTGCTAGGCAAGTATTCTACCATTTGAATCACACCTCCAGTACTTTTTTTGTCCTGAATATTTTTGAGATAGGGACTCGCTTCTTGCCCAGACGCATTCCTAGACCATAGTCCACCTATTTTCTGCTTCCTGCCATAACTGGGATTACAGGTGTGTAACACCACGCCCAGTTCTTGCACTGAGATAAAGTCTCAAGGACTTTTAAAAGAGCTCTGCATTTGCTTCAATGCTGTCATGATTGAATTCAGTCATCTAATGAGGAAAACAACCTGTGTGAGCAATGATACACACAGTAGGGTCACAAACCACTGCTTCCTGCTGGAGAGGAATTAGATCCAGAGAAATTTATAAAGCAAGAATTTTGACAACAGTTTTAGGGGCCTCCCAATCACTCTACCACCATCACCCAGAAACATTACAGTTATGGATCAAGAGTGGAAAAAGACAGTCATAACATAAAGGTGGTGTGCTGAAGTTCTTATAACATGATTGTAGCACAGGGCAGAGTTGGTAGTGTCAGAGCCAGGAATGGAAAATTCGCTGGAGCATGGCAGATTGAGGAGAAAAAGAGAAAGTCAACCCATGAAAAGACACTCCTTTGGTTCCTGGGAAGGTCCTGGCAGTACTCAGGGACCAGGAGGGTCTGTGAATAAGACACACAGGTTTCTGTTTTCAAGAAAATTAAAAAATGGGGTGAGTGAGACAGATAAACAAGAAATGTGTTCAGTTAGTTTATGGGCAAGGAATGTGCATCGGGTCACTAAGTATGGCTGAGTCACCAGTTACGGTCAGTTAGCCTGACTGAAACTGACAAAAAAAACCAAAACAAACAGATGTCAGAATGCAATCTGGAGTTTTATCTGAGTACACAATAAGCTAAACTCAAAGAATTATACCTGGGGCAGTACCATGCTCCTAATCAGATGCTGCTGGTAGGTAGGAAACAGGCTGTGGGACAAGAAAGGAAACCAGAGATCTGTTGGGCTATGGCAACAGTCCAGACAAGAGATGACACTGGCCTGGCCCAGGGCGACAGCAGGAGACACGCTGGAGAAATGAACAGATAACAGGATACCCTGCAGAGACTCAGCCAATGTTTTGTGAATGGAATGATACAAAGAAAAGAATTACATACCTGTGATTTGAACTGTCCAGTGACAATAGTGCCACTTAGACTGGGCAGACTAGGAAAGAACAAGCCAAAGGAGAATCAAGAACTCTGCTTTCACCCAGCATCGTGGTGCTCACCTGCAATCCCAGCACCAAGGAGGCAAAGGTAGGAGAGCCCAACACCAGCCTAGGCTACATGGTTAAGTTCCAGGCCAGCCTGAGATACATAGTGAAACCTCATCTCAAAAATTTCAAGTGGGGCTGGGAAGGTAGAGTGCTTGCCTAGCATGCATGAAGCCCTGGGTTCGATTCCTTAGTACCACATAAGCAGAAAAAGCCAGAAGTGGCACTGTGCCTCAAGTGACAGAGTGCCAGCCTTAGCAAAAGTAGCTCAACAACAGTGCCCAGGCCCTGAGTTCAAGCCTCAGGACTGACATAAACAACAAAAAAACAAAACAAAACAAAAACCACACACACACACAAACTTATATGCTAGGGATGAAAATGCTAGAGAGCAGAGCTGGGAAGGTGGCTCAGTGGTAGAGCACTTGCCTTGCATGCATGAGGCCTTGGGTTCGATTCCTCAGCACCACATAAGCAAAAAGAAAAAAGCCGGAAGTGGCGCTGTGGCTCAAGTGGTAGAGCGCTAGCCTTGAGCTGAAGAGCTCAGGGACAGTGCCCAGGCCCAGAGTTCAGGCCCCACGACCGGACCCCAAAATAAAAAAAATGCTAGAGCACTTGTCCAGACTGCACAAGGCCCTGGGTCCCATCCCATCCCCAGCACCACAAAGAGGGTGCACTGAGGCAGGGGTTGTGTTTTGACCAAGAATGAAACCCAAACACATCAAGAGATAGCAGAAGGCAGGCTGGCTGGCTGGCTGCGGGGCGGGGGAGGGAAGGAACTGGGAGTGGCTGTGAACTGGGTGAGGTCTGGCATGAAGAAGAAATTTCAGAGCTGCTGAGCTGAGAGTGATGGTTGCACAACACGAGGAATTCACTTATCATCACAGGTAAGAAAGCAAATCGCACAAGTTCACCCTCAAAAAGTTTTGAGGAACAGAAAATCAAGTAAGTAAGTAGGAGAATCGGAAGTATTCTAGCCAGGTTAGGCCTGAGATACAAATTGGGAAATGAACAGCTTGTGCTGGTTATTGACCCTGCTAGAGGTCATACAGAGAGGGCAGAGTGGAGGCCAGAGGATGGAGGTCCAGCCCATGTCATGATCCAGAAGTGGTGCCCAGGACTCAGAGCAGATGTCACATGATTGTTCACATTCCCTCCCCCTCTCACTCATCAACACTGGGGCTCCGTCCGTCCAAGGCGGACACAATCCCAGTCTCCTTCCCATAAAGCCCCCCACAATCTGCTTCAACTAGGGGTGTTTTTATTTGCATTCCTCTCTCTTTCTCTCTTAGTGTGGGGTTTGCACTCAGGGCCTGGGCACTGTCCCTGAGCTCTATTTCAAGGCTAGCGCTCTACCACTTTGCGCCACAGCTCCGCTTCTGGTTTTCTGGTGGTTTATTGATGGGAAGAGTTCTCACCGGGACTTTTCTGCCCGGGGCTGACTTCGAACCGCGATCCTACGATCTCGGCCTCCGGAGAAGTTAGGATTACGGGTGTGAGCGAGCCACCGGCGCCCGGCTCATGTATTTGCAAACTTGACCTTGAGGATGAAAACTTCCGAAAACGCCATCCGCCCAACGGTAACACCCAGGCTTCCTCTGGGGCTCCCCGGAACGGGTCGGGGAGTTTCGGCGCTCGCTTTTTCCTGAAGTCGGGGCTTCTGAACCAACTTCGGGGGTGCCAACGTCCAGGTGCAGGAGAACCGCAGGGCGGGGAGAGCGGAGATGCGAGCACCCCCCCCCCAAATGTAAACAGCGGGCGGCTCCGAGACTCAGCCGCGCCAGCAACCAGGATGAGCGCACCCGGAGGGCCGGGGGTCACGGGTTCGAGTCCCAGCTGTGCCTGGGCCTAGCAACGCCTTCCAGGCCCGGGCCCAGCGGGTCGGGCAGGGTCCCCCCGGCGCGTCCCGACCCCCGGCGGCCAGTCACTGACCTGCTTGAAGGTGCTGCTGAGGAAGTAGACGAGCGAGAGCCCGAAGACCAGCGCGAGCACCCACCGCTTCCGCAGCAGCCGGCGCCACACCATGGCCGCCAGGTTCACCATCCCGGCGCCCACCCCGCGGCATGGCCCCTCACGCCTCCCGCGCGCCGCGCCTCAGCCCTTCACGCCGCGCCCGGACGGACGACGCGCAGCCCCGCCAGCTCCCGGCAGCCGGCGCGCGCCGCCCCACGTGATGCGCCCCGAGCCCCAGCCCCGCCTCCGCTCCGGTTGCGTCATCACTCCCTTCCCCCCGCCCCTTACCTCCAGACCTCTTCTCGATTGGGTCTTCAAAAGAGACGACTTCCTATTGGTTGAATCTTGAGAAAAGGGGCGGGACGGAGCGTGGCCGGGTCCTAGCCTCCGGCAGGGCAAACCTGACCTCAACCCACCGGGAGGCCGGAAGTACTCGGGAGTCACGTGCTGTCGCGGCCCGGCCGGTGATTGGCTAGGCCGGAGGTGAATGATGCGGCTGTGATTGCTGGATTGTCCCGGCAGGTAAACTGAGAACGCGGTATTCCCCCTCGGTGTGGCCCCTCTTGGGGTCCTGTCGTGGCCGTTCTAAGGCGTTTTGCATGTTGTGCTGGTTGCACGGACGGGGAGCGCTCGCGGCGTCGGATCCCAAGTGCACCTGTCTGCGGGAGATGCTCCCCGCGGGCTTTGCGCTGCCATCACGTAGCGGCCCGGGGACCCCGGACCACGGCTCTCCCTGTGGTCCTCCGTGGGGAGACTAGGGTTGAAAGACGGCCCATGCAATTATCCAGATACATTCTGCATTGTATATATAATATGTTATATATTATATATATATATATATCCCAGAATTTTGTATTGGAAGAATAATGCAGGGCCTGCGACAGAGTCGTGGGCATTTGATTCAGGTCATTGTGTCCGGTTTGAGAATGGAAATGTCAGGATCCTGCATTTTGCTTCCCCCAAAGAATTGTAAATGATGGAGACGGTGGAGAGAGGGATTATTAAGCCAGATTGTGAGTTCTTTGAAAAATATCCAGGTTTGAAGGGGATGAGACACACTCACACACCACCCACTTGCCTAATGATGAAGACAATGCCTCAGACTCATTTCTTAGCTAATTTTCTGGAAGAGAAAAGACTCTCAGCTGTCAAGTTGTCTCCATTCGATGACCCTAAGACTAGTCAGGATTAGTAAGCTGTTCAATGGTCAATCGTGGTGTCTTGAGCTACCAGATAACATTGGTGGTCCTGTACAGAAAATATTCCAGGTGGCCAGACCCATTCACGAGAAATATATGGCCTTTATTTCTTTCTGGGGGAGAGAACAAGAGATCTAGGGAAAGGAAACTGGGAGATGCATAGATGGATTTCCTTATTGAATCGTTGAATACTTGCTGTCTGTGCAAGGCAAGGTTCTGGATGCTCAGATATGGAGGAACTGGATAGACAGAATCCTTGTTTTTAATTTGTCATTTGTATTCAGTGGTAGGGTAGGTCACAAATAAATAAGCATACTTGCAAATAAACCATACGTGTGAAGGAATTAAAAAAGGGCTATGGGGGAAGACATCAAGAGCTTGAGGGGGAAAAAGGCCTCTAGGAGGAGGTAACATTTGACCTGACTCAGAAGGGAAAAAAAACATTACAGGGAGCAGGAACAACAAATACAAAGGTCCTGAGGCAGAGACATACTGATGTGTTAAAGAAATAGAGAGGCCAGTGTGGCTGGAAGGGAGTCATAGAAGAAGAGTAGGTGATGCACCATCAGGCAGAAGCTGTGGGCTGTGGACAGAGTTTGGGTTTTACTCTGGTTTCCGTGGGGAGCCATTGGAAAGTCTAAAACATATTTTCCATAATCCCCAGTTAGGATTCTTAGTTTGGTAATAGAACGAAATCCATAAGAGCATCTAAGAAGGATCACTAAAAGGCCACCCAGAGACGTTGAGCAGATGGAATGATCTGTTTGTAATTACAATGATTCTTTGGATGTATTAATGAGATTCTTGACATGCTGTGCTCTATTTACCCAGGTGGTCTGTACCACACACAGCTTGGGGTCTCTGGTAAGCTCCCTGCACCGAGGAAGAGGCTGGAAGGCCTGCTCTCTTTGGGATCCAGTAGAGCCCTGAATGTCATGTCTGCTTGAGGTATCAGCAACATGGAGTGCTGAAACCCATGTGGCTCCTAACAGTGAACCAGGTAATGTGTCTCCATGAGAATTCACACCTTCATTCCCACGTGATTGAATCTGAGAGATGGAGAAAGCAAACTTTGGGCTTCACCCCTGCACTCCCTTCCATGGAACACATGGAGGAAGTGGATGCCACAGAGAGGTTGCTAACTTGTCCAAGGACACACAGCAAGTGAGCAATAGCATCTGTCCAGACTCTGTGTCTCCTAATTACTAGTCTGCTGCACATTGCCTCACACCCAACACCTCCCTGCTCCCTAGTTCATTGCCTGGGCCTTCTTCACGAGGCCCTCTTCCACCTCTGGACCCCAGCATCATGATCTATGAAAGGGAGTGACAACTCCCTTTCAATTGAGGATTGAGTGGCAGAAGAGATAAACCATGGTTTGGAAAATGTCACCAAGCACTAGGGATGTAAGGCAGGTGCGGTGCTTGTTTTGGGTTGCTGTGGTAATGTGACAGGCAGTGGGAGTGTTGGGAGATGTGACTCAGACATGTGTTGGCTTTCAGGTGTTGAGGAAAATGCAGAGGCGGCACAGTAGCAACACGGACAACATCCCTCCTGAAAGGTAGGCGTCTCTCCATGTGGTCAGCTGAGAGCCCTGGACTCTGGGTGGTGAAGGGCAGCCCCAAACTGATCTCCACAAATACCTGCCTCTCCATTACATGGTTGGGATCACTAAGATCCAGTTAGAGACTGTATCATCTGTAGAGTGTATTAGTCAACTTTGTGTTCCTACAAAAGAATACCGGAGGCAGCTGACTTTATAGAGAGAGAAGTTTTACTTAGCTCAAAGTTGGGAAGGTCAAGAGTCTGAAAGGCATAGCACAGGCTCAGCAGCGGTATCCTCTTCTGACGTGGATGACAATGGCAGATGCATGTTTGGAAAGAAGTGATTGCATCTCAAAACTGGGCAGAAAGAAAGAGGAAAGACTGAAGGGTGTGTCCCTAAAGACCTAAGGATGTCCCATTAGGTCCCGCCTCTTAAAGGCCTATGGCACCTCCCAATACCACCACCCAGGGAAAGAGCCTTTACTGGTAGACCTTTACTGATGGGCAGGGCGGGCACTCAGAGTACAGCCTACCCATAGCACAAAGTGCAGGACTGGAATGAAATGCTCAGCATGCATGGAGTAGCCAGCTAGTGCTTGTATACATTGTCCTCAAGCCCCCTGGGCTGGGTGATCATCCTGACTCATTATATCAAGAACCGGTGGCTCACGCCTGTAATCCTAGCTACTCAGAAGGCTGAAATCTGAGGATCGCAGTTTGAAACCAACCTAAGCAGAAGAGTCCATGAGACTCTTATCTCCAATAAACTACTCAGAAAAAGCCAGAAGTAGCACTGTGGCTCAAGTGGTAGAGCGCTAGCCTTGAGCAAAGTGCTCCTGGGGCTTGAACTCAGGGCCTGGGCACTGTCCCTGAGCTCAAGCCCCAGAAGCAGAAAAAAAAAAAAAAAAGGAATTGTGCCTGTGGGATTTTAATTTACGGGCATGTCCTGGTCTGTGTTTGCTGCTATAACAAAAATGCCATAAATGTTCATTGACTTAATGAACATTTATTTCTTGCCATTCTGGAGGATGGAAAATCCAAGGTCAAGACCCTCGCAGATGCAGAGTCTAGCCAGAGCTCTTTCTGATTTTTATTGTTATGATTCAGTGATACTGGGATTTGAACTCAGAGCTTTGCACTTGCTAAGCCAGGCGTTTGACCGCTTGAGCCATGCCCTTGGTTTGTAGACTATTTTCTTGCTGTGTCCATGTGGCAAGAGGAATGTGGCATCACCCAGCACAGAGCCACTTGGAGAAAGAAGGGAGGAGAACCTAGACCACCATCTTTCATGGAAAGACCAGGCAGGAAGTAGCTGAGGATTGGCTGGTTTGAACAATGCCTGTTAAGCTCTCTGAGTCATCCCTAGCTGTTGGTTCCTAGCCCTGGGAGATTGAAGGCCCAGCAGACATTGGCTACTTGTATGATGCTTATGGTGGGGTTACATAAAACCCTGGGTTGGGGCTGGGAAGGTGGCTTAGTGGCAGAGTGCTTGCCTAACATGCATGAAACCCTGGGTTCAATTCCTCAGTACCACGCAAATAAAATAATTTAAAAATAATAAGCCAGGCACCAGTGGCCCATCCCTGTAATCCTAGCTACCTAGGAGGCTGAGATTTGAGGATCAAGATTCAAAGCTAGCCTGGGCAGAAAAGACCAATTAACCACTCAAAAACCAGAAGTGGCGCTGTGGCTCAAAATGGTAGAGCACTAGCCTTGAGCAAAAGAGCTCAGGGACAGTGCTCAGGCCCTAAGTTCAAGCCCCATGACTGACAGAAATTAATAATAATAATAATAAACCCTGGATTGTGCGGTGAGTGGTTAGACAAGTTTGGCTACACATTTAGCCCCATGATGGACGAATGGATGGATGGATGGATGGATGGATGGATGGATGCCAAATAGACAAACATAGAATTTAAAAAGAGCTGCAGTGAAGCAGTCGGGAGCTAGGTTTTGTCTTTATGTATTTAAACCCTGGGGTCCTTGTTCTCAGGTTCTGCATATCTTCCACCCCAGAACCTCCTCCACAGTGCACGTGTGTCCCCTACACCTCCTGTTCAGGGTGTCCAGCAGTTCTCGGGCTGGGTGCAGACCCATTAGTGGCACCTATGAGCATTGGTCAGAAGCCCAGCCACTTCCCTCTGTTTAGGTGTGTGTGGCTCCAGCATTCTCTATGGGGAGCTGCGTCCCGAAGTCACGTGTTATTGGTGTTGGGAGGTAGTTAGGGTCAGATGAGGTGGGGAGGTGGAAGCTGGTAGTATTAGTGGCTTTATAAGAAGAGAACCAAGCTAGCACTTGCTTTATCTTGCCATGGGATACCCTTTGCCATGTTACGACTCAACAAGAAGCCCTCACCAAATGCAGCACCATGCTTTTTATCCCCTCTCCCCCCCTCCCCCATCCTCGGGCTTGATCTCAGGGTCTGGGCACTATTCCTGAGCCTTTGCGCTCAAAACTAGCGCTCTACCACTTTAAGCCACAATGCCATTTCCATTTTTTTGGTAGTTAATTGCCATCCTTGGATTTTAGCCTCCTGAATAGCTAGGATTACAGGCCTGAGCTACTGAGGCACCAGGCTTGAGATCAGGACTGTTTTTAACCCCATTTTACAAATGACAAACAGGTTCAGAGAGGGGAAGTCACTTACCCAAAGTCACACAGACAGGCAGTGGCAAAGCAGAGATTTGAGCACCCATTCATCCATCACACCAAAGCTGTCCACTTACACAGCACAGTTTAGCTGCCTCTTCTCTGGGCAGATCTACTGGGCTGCATCCGCTGTAGCCCTGAAGTGGTTAAATGGGAAGTACGGCCTCTGTCCACCCCCCCACCTCCAAGGAATACTCCTTATTTAGGCTAAAGTCCCGCTGTGTATGTATGGGAGACACTGAGGGACAGCCATAAAAAGCCATTGGTGGGTTGGATTTTCCCTAGTCACACTGGATTTCCTCAGAGGCCTGTGAACTTGGAGTACTAGTGTACTCCTGGCGGGGGGTGGGGAGGCGGCTTTCCAGGGTTCCGTGGGGAGGTGGGGGTTGTGCATGTGGACTGCATGGGCAGGACTTCTGCTTTCCAGCTTAAGCCCCTGCCCCCCAGGACAGAAGAAGCCAAGGGCCCTGGAAGCTCCTAGCCCTGGTAGCTATTGTCAATACGTTTGCTGTGATCAGTCAGTAACCCCAGAACCCCAGGGAGGAAGACCACACATATCCTAGGCTTTTGGAGTTAGCAGAGGTGGGGCTCAGTGCGGGGGCAGGGAAGCCAGGGTCCCATCCACAGTCACCAGGTTTATGATCACACACTCTGAGGCCCAGTGGGAAAACAACCCTGGGGTTCTTCAGAGCAATATGTCCCCTTGCTGTGTTGAGAGGGTCTTCCCTCTCTGCGCCACTGTGCACTGGTGGCTCACGCCTGTTATCCTGGCTGTTCAGGAGGCTGAGAGCAGAGGATCGTGGTTCGAAGCCAGCCCAGGCAGGAAATAAGACTATTTTCTCTAATGAACCACTAGCAAATCAGAAGTGGTGCTGTGGCTCAAAGTGATACAGCACTAGCCTTGAACAGAAAGACCTCAGGGATAGTGCCAAAGAAAGAGAGAGGAGAAGGAGAGAGGGAGGGAGGGAGGGAGG